ATGAACTAATGAACGTGACCTAGGAGGGAAAAGGGTTTGTGTAGGGCCAGCTACAACCTGCTGTGTTCATTTATTCACCAGGTATTTAGGTAGGGACAGCATTGATTAAATAGATGCTAACAGAAAGATGTCTCAGACTTTAAGTGGGTAGATTGAAACGACAGCCTTAGAAGGCAAAACAAAATTGTTCTCTATATAGACGCAATAAAGGCTGTACAGGGAACATTGCATGTCAAGCATTTTTTCCCATATGATAATGTTCGTAAAACACCCACTTGCTATTCAGTAGTGTCTGGGAAACTTGCATATAAAGATAGCACCCCGAAGATTGGAATTTAGAAATCAAATATCTAATTGTGCAAAGTAATATGGCCTCACTAGAAAAATAATCACTAAGTCATGAGTGGCAAGCTGGAGTCTGCAGCCTGTCTGACTCCTGTTAGAATGGTGGCTGTCAGAGCTGAATCATCAGAGATCAGAGATCTATTCTTACTTCAGCAGAAGTTCCAGCATCATTCTTGACTGTGGTTTCATCAAGCTTGCTTATTCAACACATGTGAGTGGATATTTTATGCACAAACTCTATGTACCTGCTGAAAATAGGTGATAAACAAAGCAGCCAAAGTCCCTCATAGAACTCTTCTCTTGTGGGGAAAGTTAAGCAAGAAAAACTAGTAAGAGGGATAGTTTATTATACTGACATAGCCCTGAGATAGAAGAGGGCTGGGAACTACCTTGAGAAGATGGAGCTTTTAGAATGAGAAGCTATCTGGACTTCATTCAATACACCTTTGAGAAAAGTACTAAGAGTTAGGAACACCTTCAATGCAAATAACCACAGAAAAACCATCCCAGGAAGTAGTATCAACCTCAGGGACACTTAGTAGGACCGTGCAAAGCTGGTCCGACACACACAGAAAAGAGTGGTGTTGCTAAAGAAAGACAAAGAAAATATCAGGGTCAGAGTGGCAGAAGGATAAGATCCTGCAGGAGGCTGGACAGGGTGACCCTTTGACTTTGAGATTTAAAATGAACAAAGGTGTGTAGGGAGCTTGAGTAGCAGACTGACTTCTTCAGATGGGCACTTCAACAGAGTCATCAGGTTGCTCTGTTGAGATGGGGCAAGGTGGAAGCTATAGTAATCGAGAAAACTAATGTAATGAAATGAAGGTGGAATCAGGTTTCTGGTAACTGGTAATACTTGATTAATGTTATATCAGATGGATGATGGATGGATGAAAGGACAAAGAGAGATGGATGGATTGGTGAATGAATGGATGAGGAGAGAAAGAGTGAACTGACAGAATTACTCATTGAACAAGATACAAAGTGAGAAAGAGGGGAAATAAGAATGAGATCAAATCTTTGTCATGTACTCTGGAGTACTCAGAGGCTGCCCAGCAAATGAGTACAAATAGATAAGAGAAGTTTCAGGTCAGAGGTCTGGGGCATTCCAAACTAAGAGAGCAGAGGAGCCAACAGGACAGAGCAAGGAGTAGTGGTGAGGTGGAAGAATGACAGAGTGGCCGTCTTAGAAGCCAGATGGAGTAGACATGGAGTCCAGTGCCGCTGCCTGCTGTGACATAGCCAGTGGCTTCAGATACACGGAGGTCAGTGGAAATCCTGAAAAAGACAGGCTTTAGGGTGCAATAACAGTGAAAACAGGCCTGAAGAGATGTCTCAGCATTTAAGATTACTGGCTACTCTTACAGAGGACACAGGTTCAGTTCCCAGCAGCCACATGGCAGCTCACGACTGTCATTGACTCTATTTCCAAGGGATCTGACACCTTCACACCAATGCACATAAAACAAAAGAAACCCTGCCTTAAACAATGAAAACAGGAAACTAGCTAAAGAAAGAAAGCAGAGATTGAAGGACATGTGGCTCAAAGTAGGCTTACACTGAAGGGAGAAGGCCATCATACTGGCAAATGGAGAATCCCCCCAAAGTGTGAGCTAAGTGCTACTGACTGACAACTTGGCATATCCAATCAGCTTGCCCCACGGAAAAGGTCTGATGTGCTGATAACTGACTGTCCACGTCTCACAGCCCACATCCCTAACCCGAGTTCCAAAGCAAAGGGATCAAGTGGGGCAAGCATTTATGAGACTCTTCTAGTTTGATTCCTGTTGCAGAAGCAACTCTGGAGCGGGAGAGGATTTATTTGGATTACACATACCTAGTACAGTCTGTCAAGGAAGGAAGTCAGGGCAGGAACTCAAGCAAGAACAAAGGCAAGAACCATGGAGGAACACTGCCTGCTGGCTTCCTTCCCATGGCTTGTTCAGCCTGCTATTTATACATCCCAGGACCGCCTTCCTAGGGATGGGACCACCCATAATGACCCAGGTCCTCCTACATCAATAATTAACTAAGAAAAAGCCTCATGGACTGTTTATAAGCCAGTCTGGTGGAGGCAATTACGGAACTGAAGTTCCCTCTTCCCAGATGACTCTCGATTGTGTCAGGTTGTGGTAAATATAACAAAAATAAAAAACAGTGTAGAGTAAGTCAGTAAAGGTTCTTTTGATATAGAGACAGAAGGCTTCTCTGCATCCGAGGCACTAGCTGAAATGATGTAAAGAAAAAGGGTTAGCCATTGTGAGGTCTAGGGGAAACTTTGTCCAGGGAGGAGACAGTGAGTGACAGGCCTGGTGGAGGCAATTACGGAACTGAAGTTCCCTCTTCCCAGATGACTCTCGCTTGTGTCATGTGATGGTAAATATAACAAAAATAAAAAATGGTGTAGAGTAAGTCAGTAAAGGTTCTTTTGACATAGAGACAGAAGACTTCTCTGCATCAGAGGCACTAGTTGAAATGATGTAAAGAAAAAGGGTTAGCCATTGTGAGGTCTAGGGGAAACTTTGTCCAGGGAGGAAACAGTGAGTGACAGGCCTTCTTGTAAGTTTTGGAAGAATAGTTCAGAGGCCTAAAGTATAGAGAGGACAGAGAGTAAAGTTCTAGAAATGAACAGAGCCGGCTGAGCCAATTCTTTCAGATTGCATGTTTTATTTTAGGCCTAACAGACACATAGTGAGAGACTATTGGAGATGTCTGGTTCAGATTCCACTGGCAAAAAGTAGATGAGAATGAAAACCAAGAAGCCAGTTGACAAGACACTGCCGTCCCAACAAGAGATGGCAGATGCCTGAGTCAAGAGTCGGGCTATATTAATAGACAGAAAGCTTGCTGAGTCAAGAAAATTGTGTGATGCTAAAGATAGGTGAACTGAAGGATGGACGTAGAGGTGATTGATACAGTCTGTTGCTAGATGGAAAAGAGTGGACAGGAAGGGGCAATGAGAGGTGTCAAGGACAAATAAAGGATGGTCATGTGGCTTCTTTGGGGGAAAAAACCTGGGCAAGGAAAACAGAGACAGGTGATGATATTAGCTGCTGACAGTGGACAAAGTGTAAGAACAACGAAATCAGGGTGGCCTCACAGAAAGGAATAATGATACCCTTGTCTATTAGATACTTTGGTTAGAATTATGAACTGAAATGCTGGCTGCATTGCTGAGAAAAATGAGACATCTGTTCCCGAAATTCTCCGGAGTCCACATCCATAAAGCTGTCTTGGTTAAACTGCTACAGGGAATTAGCTCTCCTCTGCCAAGCCTGCAGTTTCTTTACCCAAATGGGTCATTGAGCAGGTGTGGTTAGCAGTTATCCTGAGCCAAGTTTTGAGGACTTTCTTTTACGTATTTCATTTTATTTGCCATTTCATCCACATGCATTGTTTATGTTACGTGTGTGCATGCGAATGAGCACATGAAAACATGCATACATTCTACAGTGCACATGGGGGTCACAGAAGCACTTCAGGGAGGCAGAGGTGTGGTTAGCAGTTATCCTGAGCCAAGTTTTGAGGACTTTCTTTTACATATTTCATTTTATTTGCCATTTCATCCACATGCATTGTTTATGTTATGTGTGTGCATGCGTATGAGCACATGAAAACATGCATACATTCCACAGTGCACGTGGGGAGGTCACAGGAGCACTTCAGGGAGGCAATCCCTCCTTCAGTCACATTAGACTGGACTCAGATCGCCAGGCTTGGCCACAGGTAGCTTTACCCACTGGCTCTGTCCCTGGCTCTTTTTATTTTTAATTTGATTTCCTAGGTAAGTGCTGGGAGTTGTCCTCCTATTTGTTGTTGATGTTGTTGTTTTGGTTTTTGTTCGGTTGGTTTGTTTTTCCAGACAAGGTTTCTCTGTGTAATGGCCCTAACTGTTCTGGAATTCACTCTGTAGACCAGGCTGGCCTTGAACTTACAGAGATCCATCTGCCTGTGTTTCCTGAGAGCTGGGATTAAGGGCGTGTGCCACCATGCCGGGGTTCCTCCTATTTTGACCACAACAAGTTGTATTTCATTTACTCCCTGATGGTCCTCTCAACATATAACATGTGACTACCAGAAAAGTATATCCTACTCTAAAACAGCAACACTTTGCGGACTTATTTCATAATCACCACATCAGAATCAAGGGCCTTCTTTAAACTCATATGGTGAGGGTCACAGAGCCTGTAAGTTGTAGGTGGTTCATAAAGTGATTTCTTGATGATGTAGACCAGAGTGTGTAACAAAGGTAACAAGCTTGGTTGAGTGTGCATTCTTTTTCTTTTCATGCTTCCTTCACTTAGACTTGGTCATTAAGAGTTTAAAATAACAGATGGTTCCAGAAAACACTATCCCAGGAGGTCACTATTCATTACCCTTCCAGCCCCCTCCCCACCCCGACTCAGACTCATGAGTTACTAGAAAGCTTTTTAATAAAAAGTTTAATAACTTCCTCAGAGAGTCACTTAAAGGACTTTGAGGAACAGCGGTTAGCGTATGAAAGAATAGGAGGCCCGGACTGCAGAGCTCCGGCTTCCTGTCCCTCTGGGTCACAGAAGCAGGACCTCCATGCCCCTCCCCAAGTTCCCGCCCCCTTCTTCGTTCCAGACCATCCCAGGCAGCGAACCCAGGGGCCACACGCGGGAACTCCGTACCTGGTGGGTAATACCGAAGCAAGAGGCTCTTGAGTTTCATTTTCTTCCTCTCCCACACTGATGGGCTTCGTAGCCATGGAAACGGACAAACAGCAGTGGGTCACTGAAGCGCATGCGCAAGTGTTTCAGTTTGAGCTTAGGCGAGCCCCTCCGCGGCGGGTCGGGAGCGGTCAAGAGGAGCAAGCCTGTTCCCACGTGGTGGCGCTAGTCCACCCCATGGGAAAGGGTTGATCCTGTAACTGTTGTAACTTTTCTGATCAACTCGTTTATTTTAGCTCTTTTTAGAGTGAAAGAAAAAGAATTGCTATTGTGGAAAAGAAAATGTTCATACAGTTTCCAATATTACCTGCCAAATTCCAAAGCCTTTGTGTGTGTGTGTGTGTGTGTGTGTGTGTGTGTGTGTGTGTGTGTGTGTACTCTTGAAGATTTTAGAAAGACAAACCAACCACGACTACTCGACTACTTGCTTGAAATATTGGGAAGAAAGGTGAAGGAAGAAATTTTGCTAATAAACTCGAGTAAGCCCGGTAGAAGCAAGCAACACACCTCCAACTGGAAGACACATATGTGACCCTCTGTCTTTTCCTGCCCAGCCATTCTACTAGTCATTACAAACTTCAAACCTAGGGAGAGGAAGAGATGGAAGAGATGAAAATTTCCCTTTCTAGAAATGAGACACCCATGCTATCGTTTCTGTACCTGCCATTTGCAAACATGGCTTTTGGAAAAGTAACTTCACTGTGGAGAAAGCTGGTGGACGGCGTCTAAATCATGTCATCAAAGTTACCTTCACTGAGACACACTAACATCCCATACTTGTTATTACAGTACACCAAAGAGGACATGGTTCTGAAAGCCCTGCCTGAAATGCCTTACTTGACCCAGGCCAGGAGGAAGCATCACTCTCTCTTAGTCAGCTTTCTGTTACTTTGATGAAGTACCTGAAAGAACTCAACTAAGGTTTGGATTATCGGGTCTATCTTTGGAAAAGCATAGCATGTGCTGGAAGAGGCTACTCACACCTCATGGTGGCCTGGAAGTAAACAAGGGGAGAGGAAGGGATAAATTAAGAGACACCTAAATTCTATACTTCTTTGAAGTAGGCCCCAATTCCTTAAGCTGCCTCTAATTCCCAATAGACAATTAAATAGGGACTTCATCAATGCCCAATTTATTGATGAAGTTAAAGTCACCAGTCATCTCCAAAAGAAGCTACCTCTGAACACCTCAATACATACTTATTCAGACTCAAACTATAACACTCTTTTGGAGTCAAAGCCCTGTTTCCCGAGGGGCAGCACCTCCAAAGAGGTCAGCAGGCCTTGTGTCGGTCTTTGTATGAGAACAATTCCTCAGAAATGCACACACTTACTTCCATTCTGTGTCCAAAGCCCTACGAGTTCCTTTAAGGACCTCTTATACACAAAGAGATATTAGGGTCCTACTTGAAGCCCAGAACCATTGTCAAATACCCAAGCCATTTTCCTAGAAGATATTAGAGCTGTGTACAGCAGAAAGATGAACCAGAAATGAGCAAGTAGAGTGTTAAGTAGACTCAGCTCTCTCTTAGCTTTGGCTTCACTTGCAATTAAAGCCAAATGGCATGGTATAGGAAACAGGGTTTGGGGAACTACTTGGAACCTGGGAGTGAGGCTCTTACAAATAGGGTTCACAGAGGGTTCTGTAATCCTCTTTCTATGTGAGGATAACAGTCTAAAACCCAGAAGAAAGACTCACCAGAACTCACCTGAGCTCAGACTTCCTGTCTTCCGAATCATGACGGATTGATTTCTATGTTTCTATGGTTCGTGGACCATCTGTTCCCTAACACTTTGATGCAGCAGTATGAACTGAGAGGATCCGGTGAAAACCATCCTTGAGCAGCCAGAAGCTACACACGTAGGAGCCTCAGTGTTACTCCTCTAAACCAACCCAGCTAGTCAAGTCAAGTTACTTGGGGCCTTCAGGACTCACAATGTGATCCAGGAATGGAATCAAGAAAATGCTCTGGGAATCCTTCAGAAATGTTTGTTCTGGGCTCATTTCCTATCTCCGTAGACTTGCCAAAACAGAAAAATAATCAGTAAGGAGGCCCTACAATCCCAGTTGAAACAAATTTGCTGATGCCAACCATGAAGGATGAAGTTTATGGTCCACAGCACTGGTTTAATACATCTATCTCCCTGATGTGGCTAAAACTGAGTGATTCTAGTTGGGCCCTGTCTTGCATGGGCAGATCTTTTGTGTACTATAGTCATACCAAGTTTCTTTGATTGTCAGTGTATTAACTAGTTACTTTTCTGTTGTTGTAACTAAAGCAACTTATAGAAGGGACGATTTATGCGGTTTATAATTCCAAAGGGAGTCCATCGCTGTCATGGTGAGGAAGTGTGGCAGTAGGTAGCCATGGGGGCTGGAGCTCACACTTTAAATTATAAGCATGAAGGAGAGAGAGAGAGAGAGAGAGAGAGAGAGAGAGAGAGAGAGAGAGA